GAAAACTTTCCAAACCTAGAGAGGCATTCGAAGATCCAGTCCCAGGAAATACAAAGGACCCCAAATAGAATCAACCCAAGAAGATCTTCTCCAAGACACATTATAGCCAGGTTGACCAAAACTGCAGACAAAGACAAGATACTAAGATTAGCAAGAGAAAAACAGCAAGTTACCTACAAAGGACATCCCATCAGGCTAACAGCAGATCTCTCATCAGAAACAATAAAAGCGAGGAGAGAATGGGAAAATATATTCCAAGTGTTAAGAGAGAAGCAATTTCAGCCAAGAATACTGTACCCGGCAAGATTATCTTTCAGGTGGGAAGAAAAGACAAGAACATTCTCAGATAAACAAAACCTGAAAGAATTTACCAGCACCAGACCAGACCTCCAAGAAGTTCTCAAGGATGTGCTGTATCAGGAAAACTAAACGCAGATACATGGAAATAAGAGTCCAAAAACTGAGAAAGTAGCTAACTTAATCATAGGGACAAGTCTGGAGTTGAATACTATATCCCAGAATTTAATCAGGAAAATTGAACCAGAACAGAAGATAAAAGTATATGAGACTGATAGGTTCATGCACCTACCATTTGAACAGAATCCTAACCTGTTTCCGGGCTTTAAGCAAAGTTCCTTGGCGGTTCTTTGATTTAAGTTAAAACTGGTTTTCTTAGTAGTAACGAGGGAACTCACCTTTGAAAGTAGTCAGGTTATGTAGGAAATTGTGTGATCAATGCAATGTGGGTGGGAAGGGAATGGAGGACAATTTTGGACACTAGAGGTGGTGTGAGAGGAGGGTGGGAAGGGACAGAGGGTCAGAAAGAGGGGTGGAATTAATTCTAGCAACTAGAAGTGGAAATTTATATTTTTTGTAATGTGCATGATTGAGTCACTATGCAGTGTGTACTGGATGGGAGATCGCATTTTGTGTGCTGTGATGATGCCTAGAGAAGGAATGTAAATTGAGTTACAAAAAAGAGTTTCAGGAAAACAAAATATATCTATTCAATGACTGATGAGGGGGAAAAGCAAAACATACAGAAAACAAGAAATGGAAGATCATTTGCTGACAATAACATGTTTGTTGATGTGCTTGATTGAGACAATATACAGTGTACTCTGGATGGAAAATCTCATTTTGTATGCTGTAATGATGTACAGTGAATGAATGCAAATAAATAAATTGAGATAAAATATAAATAAATAAAAAGTTAAATAAAATAATTCTTAAAAAAAAATCAATAGCAACTCTATACACCAATAACAAACTAGCTGAAAAAGAACTCAACAATCCCATTTACAATAACTATACAAAAAATGTATGTATTACTACATTTAACCAAGGTGGTGAAAGGTCTCTATGATAAAAAGTGATTTAAGGGACCAGCAGGTGGCGTGGTGATTAAGGCGCTGGATACTCCCACATGGCCGACCAGGGTTCAAGTCCTGAATCTGGTGGCTTGCTTTCTCACTTCCTCTCTCTCTCACTCTCAACCTCTGTCTCTCTCTGGTCAAATTGAAAAAAAAAAAAAAAATGAATGAATAAATAAAAATAATTATTTAAAAGAAAAGTGATTTAATTATTCAATGCAATACCTATCAAAATACTAATGGCATTCTTCACAGAAATATAAAACATATCATAAAATTCATATGAGACCACAAAATATCTCAAATAGCCAAAGCAATCCTGAACAAAAGAATAAAGCTAAAAGCCTCATAATACCAGATTTCAAAATATACTAAAAAGCTGCAGTAACCAAGACAGCATGGTTATGGCATAGGAACAGCCACATAAACCATAGAAACAGAATAATCTTGAAATAAATTTATGTACATACAGCTAACTGAATTGTTTGTTTGTTTTTTTAGAGGCTTTTGCTATAGGGCACGTGCGCTCGCCAGACAGAGACAGAGAGCTAGAAAGTGAGAAATCACCCCCTGGGGGGCTGGCCACGCCGCAATCCCTTCTCCTCCATTCTCCTCTTGGGATCTTGGGCACGCATGCACACGCGCCCGGCGTGAGTTTAAACCACCGGGTCTGGGACGTGAACAGCAGTCAACTATGTGGGAGTCCAGCAACATAGCCATTCCACTAACTGCTGGTCCCTGGCTAAATGAATTTTGATACATGCCCTCAAACATTTTCTGGGACAAAGAAGGATGGTCTCTTTAACAAATGGTGCTGGGAAGACTGGATATCCATTTGCAGGAAAATAAAATTTGACTTCTCTATCTCAACACATACAAAAATCAATCAAAATGGACCAAAGACTTTAAATCTAAGACTCGAAACTGAAAATATTAGAATAAAACATAGGGGAAGTGCTTCAGGGTATTAGTCTGTGCAAAGACTTTTTGGTTAAGAGTTCAAAACACAAGCAATGAAAGTCACAATAGGCAAATGAAATTACATCAAACTAAAAAGCTTCTGCACAGCAAAAAGAAAATTGTCACAGAAACGAAAAGGATGGAAAGAAAGGATTGAGAAAATATTTGCAAATTATTCATCCAACAAGGTGATTAATACCTGGAACACACATGTAATTGTACAACTCGGCAGCAAAAATAATAATAATCCAATTAAAAATAAGTAAATGAGAGGGACCAGAAGGTGGCCTAATGGTTATAACACTGGACTCTCGTGTAGTAGGCTGCAGTTTGACCCGGACCCGATGGCTTAAATCACATGCTGGGCACGTGTGCAAGCATGCCCAAGATTCCAAGAGGAAATGGAAGAGAAGGGATTGCCACCCCCCAGGGGGTGAATTCTCGCTTTCTGTCTCTGTCTCTTTAGTGTGCACACATGCCCTATAGCAAAAATCACTCTAAAAAAAGGGTAAATGAGCTAAATAGACAGTTCAAAAGAAGATATACTCATGTCCAATAATTATATGAAAAAATGTTCAACATGAATAATCACAAGTAAAATGCAAATCAAAACTACAATCAGATATTTCACTCCAGTTAAAATAGCTTTTATCAAAAAGACAAAAGAGAAAAAGTACTGGCCAGGATATAGAAAAAAGGGAATCCTGGTACACTGTTGGTGGGAATGTAAATTAATATGGTCCTTATGGGAAACAGTATGCGGATTCCTCAGAAAACTGAAAATAGAACTATCATGTGATCTAGCAATCCTACTTCTGGGTATATATGCAAAGGAAAGTAAATCAGTATGTTAAAGAGATATCTGCATTCCCATGTTTATTGCAACCTTATTGATGATAGTCAAGGTATAGAATCAACCCAGCTTACTACCTCAGTCCTTTTCTGAAAAATAAAAGTAGCAAAGAAAGAAGGTAGGAAAATATGCAGACTTCAACAATATGGAGGTTCCTCAAAGATCTACAAATAGAACTACCATTTGATCCAGCAATCCCACTTCTGGGTATCTACCCAAAAGACAGGAGAACGCTCAGTCAGAAAAGTGCTTGCACATCCATGTTTATTGCAGCTTTATTCACAATTGCCAAGAAATGGAACCAACCTAAATGTCCACAAACTGATAAATGGATTGGAAAAGTGTAGTATATATAGTCTATGGAATACTACTCAGCCATAAAAAATAACAAGACCCTGGCATTTGATAAAAAGTGGTCAGATATGGAGGATCTATTGCTGAGTGAAGTAAGCCAGGCTATGAAAGAAAGATGTTGTATGTATCCATTTAATATATACTGATTATCTGTACTCTATGGTAGAGAGCGAAATATTGGAGGACATAAAAGCAGTGAAACTAGTTAATGAGAATAAGACAGTGTGGAATGGGGGGGGCAGTTTAGGAGGATAGTGAAAAGTAGCAAGAGATCAAATAGAGAGGCAGGACGTTAGTAGGACACAGATATGGCTTATTACCTGTTGATGATGACATGTATAGAATTCTCAACTGGATTGGTCTGAGAAGTATTTCATGATGGGTAAAGCCTTTTTACAAGCAAAATGAGAAATAGTGATTGACTGTTTAAAAAATAATTAGAATAATAATAATAATGATTGGAAAAAACATAGAAAAGATATTGAATGATGAAGTGGGGAGATTAATGTCTCTGTATTGACTGACATGCAGGGCATTCCCTTTTGAAAAAGCAATGTAATACATTGTAAAGTTATATGTAATCCAATGTAATGTAAAGAGGATTATGATGAGAATAAGAATAAATAAATAAATAAAGAGTACATAAAGAAAATATGCAGACTTCAAAAAGTACATGGAAAAATGGAATTAAAGTACAAGTTAATTTTGGTGCAAAACACTTATGAAATCCACATATAAGTTTCATAATACACAATTTTCATGAACTTTTTGAAGACCCCTCATATAGAAAAAATCCATTGTATAATCACTACTGACAAATCCAATCAGAAACAATGATAAAAAAAATTCTCCATTATTAGCATTTATTAGTCTCTTAAAGAAAATGTTCAAGGATAACACGTTTCCTTATGGCCTAGGTAAGTCAGAGGGCATATTATCAGAAAGTTGTAAACATTGGGAACCAGCAGTTAGCGTAATGGCTATGTTGCTGGACTCCCACGTAGTCGACCGTGGTTCGAGTCCCGGACCCGGTGGCTTAAAACTCACGCCAGATGTGTGTGTGTGCGTGCCAAAGATCCCGAGAGGAGAATGGAGAAGAAGGGATTGTGGCATGGCCATCCCCCCTGGGAGGGTGATTTCTCACTTTCTGTCTCTCTGTCTTTCTGTCTTTCTGGCAAGCACAAGCGCCCCATAACAAAAACCTCTAAAAAAAAAAAAAAAATCACATAATTCAGAATAGTTTTTACTACTTGTCTTAAACTGGTAAAGGAGAGCGGATTCCTGATTTTACAAGCTGACCGAAGGAAAACAAAGTACTTCCTAAGACTATACAGCAATTTTGAGCCATAGTGATCCCAGGTCCACTCTGCCCAAGGCCACTTTCACCAGACCAGACAGCACCCTGAAAAGCAATCTTTGCAGGAAGTCTACACCTTTGAACCCCGGGCCATTCTTCTTACCTGAGTCTAGGTAGATTGTTCTAGCTCTCTTCAATTTTCCAAATGGTTTATATCTTGGCTCAGTACTTTGGGAAGATCGACATAAAGGCTTTAAACTGAAATGAATCAGAATATTTGGTTTTTCCTTTTGGAAATGCTGTTGAAAGGTAAGCATCATTTATAGAGATTATGAAACCTTGACCATAGAAGAAGTCATATAATTATTTTTAAGAGCTAAAAAGCAATGTTAAATAATTAAAAATCATCTCAATATAATAAAATAGTAAATATAAACATTTAAATACAACACGGTAGATATTTAAATCATTGTTAGGATTGAGGGAAACGTGGGTAGACTAAAAACTTACTATCTTTGCTCTTGCAATGCAGAAAAACAAGTCCCTATCCTGAAGAACTATTAAGCAACACAATGAGACCTTCTGGCATTCAGGGAATACAAGAGAGCTAGTAGCTTCCCCTTCCCTGCTTAATGGGATTTACTTTTATCTTGCAAGAATCTCATAAATTTCATCTCTTTATTATAAATCCATAGGCAGAAAGCTAAACACAGTGGAGCTCAAATACAAGGGAACTTTAAAAAGTTTATAGAAACATGGGATTGGGAACCAGCAGTTAGCATAATGGCTATGTCGCTGGACTCCCACGTAGTCGACCGCAGTTCGCGTCCCGGACCCGGTGGCTTAAAACTCACGCCGGGCGCATGTGCGTGCATGCCCAAGATCCCAAGAGGAGAATGGAGGAGAAGGGATTGCGGCGTGACCATCCCCCCTGGGGGGTGATTTCTCGCTTTCTGTCTCTGTGTCTCTCTCTGTCTGTCTGGTGAGCGCACGTGCCCTATAGCAAAAACCTCTCAAAAAAAAATTAAAAAAAAAATTAGAAACATGGGATTAAAGTACAAATTTATTTCGGTGCAATACACTTCTGAATTTCATGTATGGTTTTTTCACAGTGTGTGTTTTCTATTAACTTGTATTTTTTTTTTTTTTTTGAGAGCTTTAGGGCACATGCACTCGCCAGAAAGACAGAGAGAGACAGAGAGACAGAAAGTGAGAAATCACCCCCCAGGGGGGATGGCCACACCACAAACCCTTCTCCTCCATTCTCCTCTTGGGATGTTGGGCACGCATGCACACGTGCCTGGCGTGAGTTTAAGCCACCGAGTCCAAGGCTCAAACCACGTTCGACTACATGGGAGTCCAGCGACACAGCCATTAGGCCAACTGCTGGTTCCTGTTTTCTATTAACTTTTGAAAGACTCCCCTTGTACAAAAGAGCACAGAAATAAAATTAAACAGTGTTTTACCCCTTTTCAAGAGCGCCCTTCTGCCAGCTTCCCAAGCCTTTAGGTTTATATACAAGTAAAACAACCACTTAAAGAGAGCAAGTTAGCTCTGAAACTTAAAGCTATGTCCATGTTACACGCTCAGTCCTGTTCTCAGGTTCACAACTGTTCTCAGGAAACACCACATTCTACCTCTCCAGAACCCCTGTCCTGTTACCACCTCTCTCTGCAGTTACTTCAACTATTCTCCATGGTAACTTGTTCAAAATGACGTCATCTTCCTCCACCTACCTGCAACAAAACTGCCAGGTGAAAATGCAAGGTGGAGCAATTTTGTACTTTAACAAACTCCCCCGACTGATTCTGAAGTATATTTAAGTTTATGTAGTCATGCACCCCTTAACAGTGTCTTGGTGGATGACAGACCACATATGCAATGGTAGGAAGCAATAGACTATATCACATAGCCTAGGTGAGCATTAGGCTGTACTATCTAGGTTTAAGTACACTCTAATGTTCACAGAATGACAAAATCACCTAACAATGCATTAGGATGTACCCTCATTGTTAAGTGAAGCATGACTATTAAACGCCTATTTAAATCTTAATATTTTAAGATAAAGCCTCTAGGTTCTGTTGTCTCCAGTTATCATCTTGTCTGTAATTTTTCCTTTGCTGTCACACTTTTTTTTTTCTTGGAGAGGTTTTTCACTATAGGGCGCGTGCACTCGCCAGACAGAGAGAGACATAGAGACAGAAAGCGAGAAATCACCCCCCGGGGGGATGGTCACACCGCAATCCCTTCTCCTCCATTCTCCTCTAGGGATCTTGGGCATGCACGCACACGCGCCCGGCGTGAGTTTTAAGCCACCGGGTCCGAGACGTGAACTGCACTCGACTACGTGGGAGTCCAGCGACATAGCCATTACGCTAACTGCTGGTCCCCTGCTGTCACACTTTTGAAAGAATAGAACATTCTCAGTATTTGCCATTTCTTCACTTTTATCCGTTTCTCAAACAACTGAAACCTGGCTTTTAACTCACAAGTTTACTGAGATTGCCCTCGCTGGGCACACACAAGCATCTGAATGGCCACAGTACTAGGGCATTTCAGAGTCCCTATATTATTTGAATTCTCAAGAATTTGGCACTGGTACCCTCTACTTTTCCCTTCCTCTACTTCAACTACAAAATTATCCTCACTCGGTTCTCACATTCTCTTGGCCAGTCTGACCGCATCTCATTCCAGCTTCAACTCCTTTGTTCCTCATTAAATGTGCTGCCCAGAGGACATTTTCAATAATGTTATTTCACCCCAGAGCAAAGAAGATGTACACCACCACAGTAAATAATATGTGCCGGTCTTGGGGGCTCATATGGGGAATCTTGAGGAACCAGTGGTTGGCATGTCTGGCCGGAACATGTGCTATTTTATCAGCCTTTGTGGGTGTACCTGTGTGAGGGAACCTGGGCAAACACAGAAAAATAGAGTGTAGGTGAAGGGAGCTGGGAGGGCCTGTTTTTTGTTTGGGGACACTGACTAAACTGTTGGACACCTGCGATTTGCCTATGACTGTCGTATGAGATCAAACATGGAATTTTCCACTTGTAGCAACAACTTGTTGGCAACTCAAAAAGTTTCACATTTGAGAGCATTTCGGATTTCAGATTTTGAATTAGGGATGCTCAACCTATATACTACTTTATCTCTTTTTTGGTTTACATTTAACTATTAAATAGATATCTTTTTTTTTTTTCATTATTAGGTTTCTGCCATAAGGTCCATGCACTTTGCCAGAGAGAGCAGAGAGAGACAGTGAGAGACAGTGAGAGGGAAAGTGAGACATCACCCCCAGCGGGGACAGCTACACCACGATCCTTTTTTCTCTATTCTTCTAAGATCCTGGACACACACGTACACATGCCAGCATGATTTTCAAGCTGCTGGGTCCAGGACTCAAACTATGGTTGGCCATATAGTAGTCCAGTGCCTTAATCACCATGCAACCTGCTGGTCTCTAAATAGATACCTTTAAGTATCCACCTAGTACTTGGTACTATGCTAGGTATTTTTCATGTATTGTCCCCAAATCTGAGAAATCTTATAAGCAAGCATGAATATCCCTATTCTGCTTATGTGGCATGACTAGCTTAGAGAAGTGATCTGGCCAAGACCATACTGATGACACTACTTGTACATTCTGTCACACTGTGAATTTAAGGAAACATTGAAAGGAAAAATACAGAAAAGAATGCAAGTTCAAAAATGTCACAACAGAAACAAGCTCTAGATATGCAAAAGTTCAGGCAAAACTATCCCGTCTCCTAGCCAAGAGCCACAAGGAAGTAACACAAGTTCTACAGTTAGTAGCTACTCACATTTCTATAACTTTATCCATCGTTGTACCTATTGGAATGACATTTGGATATGCGTTCACAGGACAGATGTAGCCCAAGAAGTCTTTAATCTAGAAAAAGGCAAATAAAATGGATCAACAATCACTCTAATGAAAACTGGCAGTATTAGGGGAGATAAAGAAATGCCAGGAGAAAGAGAAACTAAAATCACATATGACTGATGCTTACTACTGTCTACATGTGGGGATAAGCTGGGCTTCTCCTGGAGAGAGAAGACCCATCTCATTCTCAAAGATCCTCTGAGCATTGAGCTATAGCAGGGGCTGGGAATCAGGACATTTAAAGGTTCCCCAGGCAATTCTAGTCCACAGAAAGAGCTAAGAACCACCGTTGTGTGATATTCAAAGATTCTATACTTTCAAAACATGACATTAGTTTCCTTGTCCAAGTGGACCATCACCATATTTAACAAATTTCCTTTCAAGTTTTAATTAAAGTGGCCACTTTATTCTAATAGAAAGGTATTGGTAATTCCTGGCTTCCTGCCTCTTTGGATTTGGTCTTTTATTTGGCAAGTTGGATACTAATTTCTTTGACTATGGTCTTTCCATTTGTAGAAGGGAATAAATATCTTTGTGATGTCATTAACAACTTTGTAATGGATAAGGCTATTGAATGTTTCACCAGGTACTGGTCTAAGCACTTTACATGCATTATTTCGTTTATACTTTTAGTTAAAGAATCTGAGACTTAAAGACTCTTGGGAACCTGACTACGATCATAATTAATTAAAACAAGGGGAAGGTAGGAAGATTTAGTATTTGTATATTTTTCACAATTTCTTCTTTATCTTCAGAGTAGCCATACAAATAGAAACCACTGTTTGCCTACCCACCACCTATTTGATTTGCACGAAGTTGAGGCTAGCCAAAATTTAAGGCTTTTGGAAGAAACGAGAATAAAGAAGCCCATACCATTCAGAGATGAAGCAGCTACAAGGAAGACAAGGTAACACCCAATAGAGGAGCACCCTCTCTCACTTGAACAAGGGGATGCCCTTTTGTCAAATGCAAACTCTATAACAACACATTAATACAGTCAACGACTTTTATTCACAGCATTGGGAAGTCGGTTAGGCAAGTCCATTTTGTTTGTGATTTTTTGCATAGAAAAACATGCTACTACTTTCCCAACAACCTAATAGTTATGTTCTATACAGTCACTGTGAAGACTGAATTACTGAATGCTAAACCACTGTTCCTAGGAAAGATACAAGGTTAGGTTTCTGTGAGCCTCTGCTGGCAACACGTCTATCAAACAGTTGATCCATAACCTTGATTTATGGGTTTCTGTTTAAAGACACCTTATTAAATACATGTTGCTGAAGGCCAGCAGGACTTCCACTAGTGCCTGAACATCAAAGCTTATCTCATAAATGTACTTTTTAAAAATTTTTTTAATTTACTTATTTTTTACATTTAATCACTATATAGCTTTACAGAATACAAAATGAATTTTGCCATCTTGAATACACTGCATATCAGTCCAGTCAAACATATTATCACACACATTATCATCAGCAATTTTCCACTTTTTGTGTCCGTTAACTCTTTTGCCTTTTTTCCACTTTGATTTTGTTGCCCCTCCCCATTGCCCATCCTTCTCCTACACTGTCTTTAGTTTTCTATTATAATTATATTTTTAGTTTCAAGAAAAGCAGTTTTAGCTTTAATGAATCAAAATTTTAAAATGTTAAGAAAAATTTGCTTAAGACTTAAAGCCAGGAAAAAAAGTTAGGATTCTGTTCAAAGAGTAGGTAGATATTAAAAACTCAAAAGACAAATATGAACAGAGCTAAAATCTAGTAACAACTAGATTATAGAAAACTATAGTTTTCTTCTGAAACATTTTTTCTCTCTCCACTCCCTCTTTTACCAAAGAGAAGCATAAACTAAATGATTTGCAAAAAAATAAGTTTAGTCTCAATTTGGTCTGTTACTTGCACAAAACCCAATAAGAAAACTAATTGATTTAGTTGGCTTCGCTGGAACCTTTTATAAGGAACTTCAGATTAGACTCTTCAAAAAGCCTCCCAAGGCTACTGAGCCAAGCCAGGAATTCACCATCTGACTATGCCTTTAAGAACCTGTACTTGGAAGTTTGTCAGGAAGTGACTCTTTACTCACCTGCCAGGCAGAAAGAACTGTTTGTATATGGTACCAGGCAATCTTTCTAAGAGCTTCTGTTGACTTTCTTGAGATCAACATTAGTTCCTTAGCATTCTGGTCATATCTTTAGATATGACATTCCAGTCAAAGCCCTGGCAATAACCAGCATTTCCAATTTTTGATGTAAGGCAACAGGTATTATTAAAGTTATGCAAATAACAATACTGCCACAAAATATGAATACTCACAAATACTTTCCAATTGCAAAGGGGTCAGAAAGGGAGAAAAGTTTATGTTTCAATTCTGTTTACCAAAAAAAAAAAATTTTTTTAATTGCTTAAGTTGTCAGAAAACAAAAATCTTTAAATCTGGAGAACAAAGTATAGAAGAAAATCAGTATTGTCTTAGTCAAAAGTCATAAAATTCTATTTTGTCACATCAGTCTCATATAATTAATATCTCTTTTGTTGACTTTGCAGTTCTGATCTTTCCATTTAAATCCTGGAAGTTTGGAAATATGATCTCAAAGTTATCCAAAACCTATATTCAAGAGCATTTATCAGTCTTTTTCATTAATTCCCTTAAAAAAAGAAATTTTTTGAATTACAGCCTATTACAAAATGTTTTAGGAAGAACATCAGAATAAAGCAATTAACTATGGATGATGAAACTTAAAATGGCCATGGTTTGAGATCTGATTTTACCATAACACAAAATTGACAAATTTGATAATTTCTGTGACAAACTACATTAGAACTTTTTAAAAAATTATTTATTTAATTTTATTTATCCATTTACTTATTTTTTAACTTGACCAGAGAGACACGGGGCGAGGGGGGAGTGAGAAAGCAAGCCACCAGGTTTAGGACTCAAACCGGTGTCAGCCATGTGGAATTATCCAGTGCCTTAACCACCACTCCACCTGCTGGTCCCCATTAGAACTTTTTAACATTACAAGCATAATGAATAATACATTTTTACATAATAGATACTTAAGAATTTCATACAATTTTGGAACACCCATTGACATAAATTTCTATACACAGGGATGTTTCTCATATAATTTCCTAACGATTAGTGTGTTGCAATCTCTCTCTCTTTCCTTTTAGATCTAGCAGTCTTTCCTTCACGTATTTGGGTACTCCTGTGCTGGGTGCATAAATTATAAATAAATGTTCTATTCTTTGAGTTTATCTTCCCATTTTTTCCTTCCTTGCATTGTTTTCACTAAGAGATCTAATGTTAATCTGATCAAATTACCTTTGTATGTGACTTGATGTTTTTCCTTGCCATTTTTAGTATCTTGTCTTTATCAGTGATTTTGGTCATTCTGGTTATGATGTGCTATGGAGAGTCTTCTTGGGTTGATTCTATTTGGGGTCCTTTGTATTTCTTGGATTTGGATATTTGATCACTTCTCTAGGTTTGGGAAGTTTTCTGCAAGAATTTCATGGAATGGACCTTCTATGCCCTTGTCTGATTCTTAACTTTTTGGAATACTATTATTTGAATATTTGGGCATTTCATAGTATCTAGTATTTCTCATATGTTGTCCTCATTTCTTTTAATTATTTTTTCATTATTTTGGGGGCTTTTATCTAAGTCAAAGGTATTGTCTTCCAGTTCAGAGATTCTGTCTTCTACATAGTTTATTCTACTATTAATACTTTTGAGGGAGGTCTTGATTTCCTGTATTACTGTCATCATCTCTAGGAGTTCTGATTTTTTTATAGAGAGATGTTTGCTATAGGACACGTGCACTAACCAGAGAGACAAAGAGGCACAGAGATGCAAAAAGCAAGAAATCACCCCACAGGGGGAATGGCCACTCTACAATCCCTTCTCCATTCTCCTCTCAGGATTTTGGGCATGCATGCACTCGCACCTAACATGAATTTTAAGTTGCTGGGTCTAGGACTTGAACCACAGTTGACTACATGGGAGTCCAGCGACGTAACCATTACACTATCTGCTGGTCCCCTATTCTTTCTTTTGTTTTTATGGTGTCTGTCTCCTCCTTCAAATCCTGGAAAGACTTCCATCTCTGTCACCACGAATATTTTGAACTCTATTTCTGACATTCTTTGAAATTCCTGTGCTATCCATGGTTGAAGAAGAGTTGCTCTGTTCCACTGAGAAAGAGGTATTCCTTTGGTTTCCTACACTTTTTGTGCCTCTGCACTGGTTTCTAGTCATCTGGTGGCTTATACACTACTACCTGCTTTTCTGCTGTCCATTCTATAGCATCAGGGGGAAAGAAGAGCTCTACTTCTCAGATGTGTCTTGGCAGAGAGCCTTGTCTTCCAGCTAGAGCGTGTATATAGTCACCTTTAGGTGTTGCTTCCTTTCCCAGTCTCTTGAGACAAGGACCTGGGGCTAACCTGGAGATTTTCAGATGGAAGAGGGAAGAGGAGTAAAGCGGCACATTGTGCCACATGGTTCAGAAAACTATGAAGTCTCAGAATATTCCTGGGACGAGCTGGGAGGCAGGAAGAAGCCTGGAGCAGTCTCCTACTCAGCTTCCTACACCAACTGTCTCTTCTCTCTGGATGGTGGCACCACAAGCTCTGGGGAAAATGGCAGTGGACCAGCGTACCTGGCCATGTACTTTCTCCATAAGACATTTCACAGCCTTCTTGTGCTTAGGAACACTAGATGGGACTTCAGCACTATACTAGGGTACCTTGTTATATAATAAAATCACCAAAAAAGTACAAAAATATGAAAAATATGGCAATCAGTAGACCACAGAAAGGACACTGCTTATAGTATAAAAGCTAAAACAAAAAGGCAGAGTGCTGGGACCAACAGTTAGTGTAATGGCTATGTCGCTGGACTCCCATGTAGTCGACCATGGTTCAAGCTCCAGACCTGGTGGCTTAAACTCACACCAGGCACGTGTGCGTGCGTGCCCAAGATCCTGAGAGGAGAATGGAGAAAAAGGGATTGCAGTGTGGCCATCCCTCCTGGGGAGTGATTTCTCGCTTTCTATCTCTTTGTCTCTCTCTGTCTTTCTGGTGAGTGCACACGCCCTATAATGAAAAAACTCTCAAAAAATAAAATAAAATAAAATATAAAAAAAGAAGGCAGAAGGCTGCCTCATTTGATCTGAACATGTATGTCAGCTGACTCAGATTCTTCATCACTCCCCCATGTCTGTCAATGACTGGAAAAGTGCTGCAAGTGTAGATATTGAGATAACAGATAAATTTTAATGAGTAGAACACGAAAATACAGAATCTGCAAATAATAAGGATTGACCATACCTAGAAAAACACTGAAAGGAAATGAGATTTAATAGAAAAAGAGATGCCTTTGGAAGTTAAGGAGACTGTGGTAGGCCATGAAGACTGAAAAACAATCTGCAATGCAGTCATGAGCATGAGACTCTCTTACCTCACTGTAGGAAGAGTGAAAAGAGAAACAAGCTCTGTATGAACTCTGTCCAGTCCTAAAGGGAATGAAAACAGAAAATAAAAAAGGTCATTTAGTCAAATTAAGCTAACTTCTAAACCTTGATCCTTCTAAAAAAAATCACAGCACAATCAGGGTTTTTTTTTGTTTGTTTTTTGATTTTTGTTTTTTTTGGTATGTAAGTAAACTTATTCCAGAAATGGAAATCTGTTGCAGACATTATGAACAGCCTACATCAAAGAAATGTTACTAAGAGATTATGCTCATTATGGTGATTCTTCTATCCCATCAAGAGCTTCTGTTCTCTGTGTCATCAGTTTATTGTTCAGTCTCCAACCATCTCAATTACCTATTAATAGAATAAACCTCAGGGTATGCTGGCTAATGGTATCACGATAGGTTTGGAAGCCTAATGCCTTCACATTAAATAAAGTTTATATTTAAGAAACTATTCCCCATTTTTTTTTTTTGAGAAGTTTTTGCTATAAGGCACGTGCGCTTGCCAGAAAGACAGAGAGACAGAAAGCAAGAAGTCACCCCCCAGGGGGGATGGCCACACTGCAATCCCTTCTCCTCCATTCTTCTCTCAGGATCTTGGGCACGCATGTACACGTGCCCGACATGAGTTTAAGCCACCAGTTCCGGAACTCAAACTGCAGTCGACTACATGGGAGTTCAGCGACATAGCCATTATGCCAACTGCAGGTCCCTATTCCCCATAATTATATCTTCTTTTTGATTTAGGTGTCTAAATTAAATCATAAAATTTACCTCAAAACAAGATTTCTCTCAAAAGACCTATGACATTGCTTTCTTACCTCACGATTACATTTGTTTTTCTTGTTCTTTCTCCAAACCACATGGTGGATGGCTTAATGCTAATTATATGGAGTGGAATTCTATTTTTAGAAGTAATTCCACAGGGTAATTTATTCCACTGAAAATACTCTTCTGCCTATAAAGAGATAAAATGGAAAAGAAAAAAAGGCATATATTTTCATCAAATCTGTTTATAAACATAGTCTCAAAGACAATGGTAGATAAGTTTTCAGACATGAAAGAAGAAAATATAAATATGAGGGAAAACAATTTCAAACTGGAGGATATTCTGTAAAACAATTGGCATGTACTCTTCAAAATCATCAATGTCAAGAAAGAAAAGCAAAAGGCTGTAGACATTATCTCCATCAAAAGAGACTCTCAAGGCCTGACTGAATGTAATGCAAACCTTAATTAAATCCTCCTACATGTCCCTGCTCCCCTATCCCTAGAACTATAATGGACACTATTTGGGGCAACTGGGGAAACTAGAAAATAGACTGTACTAGCTAGTAGTATAGTATCGACATTAAATTTCTTGAGTTGGGGCATCATGTTGTGGTTATAAAGGGGAAGGGAAATACAGGCTGAAGTGTCCGGTACCAAGTATACAACTTGCTCTGAGGAGCTGGTTATACATACAGTGAGCGGCAGAGATAGCAGAGTGTCAAACTGACAATCATATGAAGAGTATCTGGTATTGTTTATACTATTCTTATAACTTTACTGTTTCAAAATTTTTAAAAATAGATATGGGAAAAATAAGTAATAAATGAAAGTGCTTTTAAAAGATTAAAAAGCATCATGATGATTTTCTGAAAGAAAATTTGAGCTTTCCGTCCCAACTGAATTTTTGGGGGTGCCTTTGGTGAGGATGTGGATGAGAGTACACCAGTATTCAACAAACAATAGTTTTGTTTTGTTTTAGTATAGGTTTTTGTCAAAGGGCACGTGCACTTGTTGGAGGGAAACAAAGAGAGAGAGGGAGAAACTGGGAAATCACACCCCGGGGAGATGACCATGCTACAATCCCTTCTCTTCCATTCTCCTCTCAGGATTTTGGGCACTCATGCACACACACCCAGTATGATTTTCAGGCTCCCAAGTCTGGGACTTGAACCATGGTTAGCCATGTGTGAATCCAGTGCCTTAACTACCATGCCATCTGCTAGCCCTCAAGTAATAGTATTTTTAAAGGTTAAGTGGCCTATGAAATAAGTGTCATAAGCTACTTGAATTATTTCTCAATGAAAGCAGCCCTGTGGAAAATAAAAGCAGTTAGAACCAGTGGATGGCAAGCTGGTTATGTCACCGGACTCTTATGTAGTCAACCGCAGTTTGAGTCCCGGACCCAGTAGCTTAAAACTCACATCGAGTGCATGTGCATGCGTGCCCAAAATCCCAAGAGGAGAATGGAGGAGAAGGGATTGCAGCACGGCCATTCCGCTTGGGGGCGATTTCTCACTCTATGTCTCTCTGTCTCTCTCTGTCTCTCCAGCAAGCACATGTGCCCTATAGTAAAAATCCCTCTAAAAAAAAAGAGAGAGAGAAAGAAAATGAAAGCAGCAGCAATTACAGATTAACCTACTTTGTGAGATTTGAGAAAACTCAGAGCAAAAAGAAATTTGTCAGTTAAAATATTATGGAGACATAGGGCCAAAGACCATACGTCCAATAGGAAAAGAAACAAGTTAATATTTTGTACCTACATTATTTTTATCCATCCAATCTACTGAACATATATGTGTATATGTAAATGGATGTGTGTATATATACAGTCTTTTGTTGGTATTCCTGGGAGATTAGTTCCAGGATGCTCCCATCTCCACTTCATTGCCTGTGGATACCAAAATCTATGGAAGTTCAAGTCCCTTGTATGAAATGACATGGTATCTGCATATAAACTATAGACATCCTCCCATATACTTTAAATCATCTCTACTTATAAGTAATCTTAGCATCATATAAGGAAAAGAAAGTATATAAATAAACCCCCTTAGCAATTCTCTTTTAGGGAGCCACTTCTCCCATTTCACAATGACTGGCTGTATCCACAGCTGGCTGAATCCATGAGTAATCCCACAAATATGGAAGGCTAACATTATATATGTGTGTGTGTGTGTGTGTGTGTGTGTGTGTGTGTGTGTGTGTGTGTTTGTGTATGTGTGTGTATGAAAAAATAATGAAAAAATTCATGAATGTAAGTCCTAGTATAAACTTACCAATTATCAAAAATAATTTCTTACTCTAGCTCTTACAGTGGCCTCAATAGAACATTCCATGCTTTAGATAAGAATTCTTTCTTTATTTAAAATCATGCTTTGGGTCAGCAGATGACATAACTGTTATGGCCAACCACAGTTCAAATCCTGGAGGAGGTTTGAAACTCATGCCAGGCACATGTGTGTACGTTCCCAAAATCCTGATAGGAGAATGGAGGAGAAAGAATTGCCACATGGCCATCTCCCAGGGAGTGATTTCTCGCTTTCTCTCTGTCTCTCTGGCGAGCCCACATGCCCTATATCAAAAATCTCTCTCTAAAAAAAATTGGTTTTAATTATGCTTTATTATAAAGGCCAAGTGGGACCAGCAGTTGGCATAATGGCTATGTCGCTGGACTCCCATGTAGTTGATCGTGGTTCGAGTCCTGGGTCCAGTGGCTTAAACTCACGCCAGATGCGTGTATGTGCGTGCCAAAGATCCTGAGAGGAGAATGGAGAAGAAGGAATTGTGGCATGGCCATCCCCCCTGGAAGGGTGATTTCTCACTTTCTGTCTCTCTGTCTTTCTCTCTGTCTTTCTGGCAAGCACAAGCGCCCCATAAGAAAAACCTCTCCAAAGAAAAAAAAAAGGAGGCCAAGTAACTTTTTCCCCCAGGGTTTTGGCTGATGGAAACAATATTAGCACCAAATAGCAATTTAAATGTATAAATTCAACGTTTGCTAAAATATTTGAAAACTGAAATACTACAAAATGTAGAGGAAAATAATCGCTTAGGCCATTGAATTTGAAGACCATCAATTAGTTTTAACAATTAAAATTAAAACAAAAATGTTAAAGATAAATTTAAAATGAAAGCCTTATACCTTAAAAACAATAGGGAATTCTATGGTGGCATTAGGAAACAAATTACAAATGAGGTGAAAAGGGCTGAACCCATAGCACCATGGTTAAGGGAACTGAATGTCACACACGGCTGACCACAGCTGGAATCCTGGCCCTGGCATCTTGGAAAGCAAGGCAGATGCATATGTATATGCGCCCCCAAATCCTGAGAGGATGGAGAAATGGAGGACAAAAATTGGTGGTATGGCCACGCCTCATTGGGAGGTGCTCTTTCTCAGGGGAGAACACATGCCCTCTGGCAATTAAAAAATATTTGAGCTGTAAAAACAACAAATATTCATTTGAAACTGAACCAACAATATATGTAACTATCCTGGGGCCAGCAGTTGGCATAATGGCTATGTCGCTGTACTCCCATGTAGTTGACCACAGTTCAAGTCCCAGATACAGTGGATTAAACTCACACTGGGCACGTGTGCGTGCGTGCCCAAGATCCTGAGAGGAGAGTGGAGGAGAAGGGACTGCAGTGTGGCCATCCCCCCAGGGGTGTTTTCTCACTTTCTCTCTGTCTCTCCAGTGAGCACACATTGGCAAAAACAAAACAAAACAAAAACTCTAACAAATAAATAAATAAACAACAATAACAAACAGAGAAAAACCAAAGCTTTTTTTATTTTTCACTCTGTTAGAAAACAACGATTGTGGGGATCAGCAGATGGCATAATGGTTACATCACTGGACTCACATGTAGTCAACTGAGTTCAAGTCCTGGACCTAGCAGCTTAAGCTTACACCAGGTGCATGTGCGTGTTTGCCCAAAGTCCCAAGAGGAGACTGGTGGAGAAGGGATTGCAGTGTGGCCATTCCCTCTGGGGGCTGATTTCTTGCTTGCTGTCTCTCTGGTGAGTACATGTACTCTATAGTAAAAATCTCTCAAAAAAAAAAAATGTGTGTGTGTGTGTGTGTGTGTGTGTGTGTGTGTGTGTGTTTGTGTATGTGTGTGTATGAAAAAATAATGAAAAAATTCATGAATGTAAGTCCTAGTATAAACTTACCAATTATCAAAAATAATTTCTTACTCTAGCTCTTACAGTGGCCTCAATAGAACATTCCATGCTTTAGATAAGAATTCTTTCTTTATTTAAAATCATGCTTTGGGTCAGCAGATGACATAACTGTTATGGCCAACCACAGTTCAAATCCTGGAGGAGGTTTGAAACTCATGCCAGGCACATGTGTGTACGTTCCCAAAATCCTGATAGGAGAATGGAGGAGAAAGAATTGCCACATGGCCATCTCCCAGGGAGTGATTTCTCGCTTTCTCTCTGTCTCTCTGGCGAGCCCACATGCCCTATATCAAAAATCTCTCTCTAAAAAAAATTGGTTTTAATTATGCTTTATTATAAAGGCCAAGTGGGACCAGCAGTTGGCATAATGGCTATGTCGCTGGACTCCCATGTAGTTGATCGTGGTTCGAGTCCTGGGTCCAGTGGCTTAAACTCACGCCAGATGCGTGTATGTGCGTGCCAAAGATCCTGAGAGGAGAATGGAGAAGAAGGAATTGTGGCATGGCCATCCCCCCTGGAAGGGTGATTTCTCACTTTCTGTCTCTCTGTCTTTCTCTCTGTCTTTCTGGCAAGCACAAGCGCCCCATAAGAAAAACCTCTCCAAAGAAAAAAAAAAGGAGGCCAAGTAACTTTTTCCCCCAGGGTTTTGGCTGATGGAAACAATATTAGCACCAAATAGCAATTTAAATGTATAAATTCAACGTTTGCTAAAATATTTGAAAACTGAAATACTACAAAATGTAGAGGAAAATAATCGCTTAGGCCATTGAATTTGAAGACCATCAATTAGTTTTAACAATTAAAATTAAAACAAAAATGTTAAAGATAAATTTAAAATGAAAGCCTTATACCTTAAAAACAATAGGGAATTCTATGGTGGCATTAGGAAACAAATTACAAATGAGGTGAAAAGGGCTGAACCCATAGCACCATGGTTAAGGGAACTGAATGTCACACACGGCTGACCACAGCTGGAATCCTGGCCCTGGCATCTTGGAAAGCAAGGCAGATGCATATGTATATGCGCCCCCAAATCCTGAGAGGATGGAGAAATGGAGGACAAAAATTGGTGGTATGGCCACGCCTCATTGGGAGGTGCTCTTTCTCAGGGGAGAACACATGCCCTCTGGCAATTAAAAAATATTTGAGCTGTAAAAACAACAAATATTCATTTGAAACTGAACCAACAATATATGTAACTATCCTGGGGCCAGCAGTTGGCATAATGGCTATGTCGCTGTACTCCCATGTAGTTGACCACAGTTCAAGTCCCAGATACAGTGGATTAAACTCACACTGGGCACGTGTGCGTGCGTGCCCAAGATCCTGAGAGGAGAGTGGAGGAGAAGGGATTGCGGTGTGGCCATGCTCCCTGGGGGAGGGGGGGTGATTTCTCGCTTCTGTCTCTCTGTCTTTCTGGCGAGTGCACACACCCTATAGCAAAAACCTCTCAGAAAAAAAGAAAAGCATATGTAACTATCTCGAAGTTTGAAGGAAAGTTACATCTGGATAATTATCTCAAGTAAATAGAAGACAGATACAGTTTATATATATGCATATGTCCTAAGTCTTAAAAATAGCAGTGAATATGTTTCCATAAATTACAGACTCTAACACATTATTAATTTTATCACAAATAATTTGTATTTTCAAATGTGTGTGAATAGACTGCACTAAACACTCTAAGGTTCTGAGTCTATTTACTAATTATAAAGTATATGATAACGGATATAGTGATGTACAGTTGCATGACCCTGAGCCAACAACTTGGGTTCAGAGTCTTGGGTTTTACCTTTGTAAAGTAATGGAAGAAGCCTAGAAAATGGAATTTGTGGGACCCATAGGTAGTGTGGCAGTTAAAGGCGCTAGATTCCCACATGACTGACCACAGTTCGAGTTCTGGATCCAGTGACTTGAAACACACTAGGCACATGTGTGTGCATATATGCCTAAAATTCCAGGAGGAGAATAGAGGAGAAGGGATTGTGGCATGGCCACACCCACTGAGAGGTGACTTCTCACTTTCCCCCTCATTGTCTGTCTCTGTCTCTCCAGTGAGGGCACGTGCCCTGTGGCAAAAACCTTATTAAGGAAAAAGAAAATAGAATTTCTGTGGTTCCTTCTCAACCTAAAATTGTTTTTAATGTGTCACAAATAACATGAGAAAAATCATTTACGTATGTACTTTTGGGTGCCGGCATGCGTGGATCTGGGTGCTACGGTCCGTTGTGAGATGATGAAGAAGGTCGGGCATGTTTCTAAACATGTCAAGTTTATCCACATGAACCTAAGGAAAATAACAGATAAATCACTTGAAATGTATTTTCTATAAATAAACTGCTCAAGGGTAAAACATCCAGTTAGTAAACTAACCCTCTCTTCTTTCTAGCTGCCTTATTTTTGGCTATTTCAAGGCACATTATTGGTATTCTGCCAGGATGTTACTAGGTGAAAGGCTGACCAGTCAGGGTTCCCACCTACTGCTAGTCAGAATGAAAAATTATGGAGACTTGGCTTATGGATCTCATTTCTCATGTTAATATTGCCCTTCAGTTCTTCAGAAGTCATTCAATTAATATTTGTTGGGTGCCTATGCTGTGTCAAGCTTTATTCTAAATACTGGATATGCATCTGGATATACAAAGCACACAAAAACAATCAATAATCACCTACTCATAAAGACATAAGTGCAGCATGCCACAGAGGGGCAGCTAGACTGGAAAGACTTTGGAAATAAAGAGTCACAAAGTAGGAAGGGAAAAAGGAATAGAGAGAGAGAAGTCAGCAGAAGGGAGAATTTTTGAAATTTTACATGCAGAAAAACTAAAATATACCAACTTTACTAAAATAAATTGTATATAATTTGGGGGTTAGACAGTGGCAAGGCAGTAAAATATAATGTTTTGCAAGGCTGACCCACACGGAAAGTTTCCAGGGTCATGTCCAGAGACTTCGCAGCATACACTGGGTATAAACGTGCCCATGATCCAGGGCTGGCTGAAGCTGTGGCTGAACCAGAGCATTGTGTCTCTGTCTCTCTCATTCATGGAACAAATAAATGAATAAATGAGTCAGCTTTTAAAAAAAGTACACTATGTAATATAATTGTTAAGTTCTTGACACAAGGTTTTTAGCTGGGGAATCTATATTAAAAGGTAAATGTCCACTAGTTCCTGCACTTCATTCTGTTCAGTCATTGTCAAAAATCCACCTTCCTGGAGATGTGCTGACCCCTGCGATTTCCCCAAATGTGGGAAACTTGACTGCACAATTTGTGGTAAAGGGGGACTGCATTCACACTGTCCCCTGAAATTTAAAAAAAAAAAAAAAAAAAAATCCACCTTCCTGGGACCAGCAGATAGCGTAGCAGTTACATGCCTTGACTCCCACGTGGTTGACCACAGTTTGAGTCCTGGGTCCAGAGACGTGAAACGCTGGGCACATGTGCATGCATGCCCAAAATCACAAAAAAAGAATGGAGAAGGGACTGTAGCATGGCCATCCTCACTGTCTCTCTAGCAAGCACACGCACCCTATGGCAAAAAATCTCTCTCAAGAAAAAAAAAAAAAATCCACCTTCCTTTGGGAATGACCAGCAGGAGCCACACTAAGTACTGTAAGAAGGGGGCTCCCTGCTAGGCAGTCGCCCTCACACTCTATGGGCCTGCTGCTCCAGGCCTACAGTTCAGCACTGAGCAGCTAGACAGAAGCTACCAGAAGGTAACAGGTGAAAAGTCCCTGCCATCCTGACACTGACCTAGGGGCTGTGCTCAGTAAGCAATGCTCTAGGACAATGTTCTTCATGCAATCAGAAACAGCATTTCCAAACAACTATCACACACATACACAAGTGTGTGCAAGCCGAGCATCCCTAATCCAACAATCTGAAATCCAAAATGCCCCAGATCTAAAACCTTCAGAGCACCAACGTAACACCAAGAGTAGAAAATTTCACACCTGAACTCATCTGACAGGTTGCAGAGAAAATGCTGTAATACAGGGACCAGTAGTTGGCATAGGGCTATGTCACTGGACTCCCACGTAGTTGACTGTGGTTCAAGTCCTGGACCTGGTGGCTTAAACTCATGCCGGGCACATGTGCGTGCATGCCCAAGATCCTGAAAGGAGAATAGAGGAGAAGGGATTGTGGTGTGGCCATCCCCTCTGGGGGATGATTTCTCACTTTTTGTCTCTCTGTCTTTCTCTGTCCTTCTGGCGAGTGAACATGCCCTATAGCAAAAACCTCTCCAAAAAAATGCTGTAATACAAAAATTACCTTCAGGCAAGAAGGTGTCTATGAAACAAATGAAACTTACATTTAGACTTGGGTCCTATCCCCAAGATATTTCACTATGTATCTGCAAATATACCAAAATCAAAAAAAAAAAAAAAAATCTGAAGTCCTAAACACTCTGATCCCAAACAGTTTAGATAGAGATACTCAACCTATATATGTGTATGTCTGATTCCCTACGTCAATTTTTTCACAAATGATAACTACCCTGACTGTAGCAATATACTCAGATATTTTCTATTTCAAGTTTGTTTTCAATGTTGGTGATTTACAATCACTAAATTTCATGACCCATAGTTTGGAAAGGAAAGGTGAAGTTGGGAGGATGGAAAGGAGTGAGCGACTAGCATGAACAGTCACCGTACCTGGACTCCAAATTCTTCACTAAGGTTAGTGAATAAGTATTCATAGCCATAAGCTGCTTTGCAATTCAGCCACACAACATGGTACGGGCTCCGAGTGATCCAGCTTCGAACCAGCTCTAAAATTCCATTTAAGCACTCCTCCTGGTCAAGATTGTTAAAAGACATTGAACATATAAGTGTTACTACCCCTTTTCATTCCCAGTACTCATAGGTGTTCATTCCTAGGGGACCATTCTGATCTCATGTGTCATTCTACAAAACTTCCAGCGGGAAATACAGCCAAGGCCAGGTTGTCACCCCAGATCTCCAGGCACTTACTCGACTTGGAATCTGATAAAATTTTGGATCGCAGAAAGTAGTATCTAAATATACACTTTCGATGTCTTTTACTCTGGAAAAAAAAAAAAAAAAAAAAAACAAGAACTTGATGTTAGCCATCTACAATGACATAACTTATGTATAAAATTTAAACTTGAAGTTATTTTATAGGGTATTCAATTCCCTTAAAATTTTTTTGTTAAATAAACTTAGATTTTTCCATAAATAATCTGGTGGATTTTGATAAATCATGTAATGACTACCTCAATCATCATGCAGAACATTCCACTACCCCATTTCCAAGAAAACGTGCTCTTTAATTGCCAGATGGCACATGTGTTTGCCAGAGAGAGAGAGAGAGAGAGAGAGAGAGAGAGAGAGGAGTCAGGGCAGAGAGTACAATGGAGCATGGTCACACTATAATCCCTCCTCCTCCATTTCTCCACCTTGTAGGGATTTGGAGCAAGCTTGCAAATGCACCCAGTGTGTTTTTCAAGTTGCACTTGAAAAGGCCAGAATTTGAACTACTAGACTATGGGGCTGGCCCCTGAATCTGATTCCTAATGGGAAAAAAGGCTTGCATTTCATAGGAAAAGAGCATTAAAACTTTTGGAACTATGTAGTCTTCCATTCAAGAACTGTATAAGGCCCAGTACCTGCCCCCAGAGTGCAGGAGCTCCATTCTGGCAGCTTCTCCTTTGGCCAATCTGAAGTCTCCTGTGTATAAGACAGTTCCATTACTGCCTTGAAATAAAAACCTGAAAAAAAAAATATATCTCAGTGACTTCTAAATCTCATAAAATCCTAGTAACACATATACATGTTAAATCCATAACAGATGTTTCCTGCCAAACAGATGCACTGTGATATGGCGTTAATGGACTGTCAATAGCTCTAAAGCCATCCCAGGCACTTAACTGCCACCTCTTCCCTAAACTAGAAAAATATAACCAAATGGAGGTTCTACTAATTTATCATTGATGTTCCCCATAATTAAGGTTAGCACTCTAAATTCCAATACTGAAATCATTCCTGTTCATGGAAAGAAAAATTCATAGAAGAAAATGCAAAGTTCGGTCAGCAGATGATGCGGTGGTTAAGATGCTGGACTCCCATATGACCAACCATGGTTTGAGTCCTGGACCTAGAGACTTTCTCTCTCTCTCTTATGAGCACAAATTAAAAATAATAATAATGATGATAAATAAAATTAAAATTAAAATAAATAATTCTTTTTAAAAAGTGCAAAATGCAACTTTGCATTTTGATGACTTCCAATAGAAGGCCATATTTCAAATCTGATCTCCATCTCAGTCCCACAAGTTCGATTTGGAAACAAAGATGAAAGTGCCAGAAAAATTTCCCTCTTCATATTACTTTTCAGATCCTAAAAATTGATTTCCACAAATATAACACACAACTACACATAGTAAGATGGCAAAATAGATGAGCCCCCTTACATAACTGATCCTGGGCAGTGACCAGCCGGTAAGAGAGTCACAACAATGTCTTCCTTCTGAAAAGAAAATAAAGAAAAAAAAAAAATAACAGAAGTTATTATTAGTCCTCCTTAATAGAACACATACCAATACCTCTCAAGATTGTGCCTTTTCTCCCCAATTTCTTCAGTCTCCAGTCCTGGGCATAAATAAAATTCTTGTCCACCCAGCAAATAAGGAAAGAGAGTGTTGCCATTGGACTCAGCTATTCCATCTTTAGTTATACACCCAAGGAAAACAAAACCTTAGGTACACACAAACATTTATACCTGAGTTCACAGCAGCATTTTTCATGCTAGCCAAAAAGTGAAAATAATGCAGATGTCTACCAACTGATGAATGAGTAAACAAAATATGGGATATCCACACAATGGGATGTTATTTGGCCTTAAAAAGGAATGAAGTGCTAACATAAGCTACAACATAGAAGAGCCTTGAAAAGATCATGCTGAGGGGTCAGCAGGTGGTGTGGTGATTGAGATACTGGACTCCCACATGGCCAACCATGGTGCAGGTCCCAGATCCAGCAGCCCAAAAATCATAACAGATAAATGTTTTAAAAAATCATGCTAAGTGAAAGAAATGAGACACAAATGATCATATGTTGTATGATTCCACTGATATGCAATGTCTAGAAAGGGCAGATTCATGGAAACATGGTAGATAGCGGTTTCTAGGCCTACGGTGCGAGGAAATGAGGAGTGACGGAGTGACTGTACTATGTACACAGCTTCTCCTTTGGGAAGATGAAAATATTCTAAAATGGATAGTGGTAATGGATACACAACTCTGTAACTATACTAAAAGACACTGAGTTGAATACTTCAAGTGGTTGAACTACATAGTATATAAATTAAATCTCAATAAAACTGTTATTTAAAAGAGCAAGGAAAGGGGCCAGTCCCATGGCCTAATGATTAAGTTTGCCAGATCCCACATGGCTGACTTGAGTGATTCGGATCCCAGCCCCAGTGGCTTCAAAAACACACCAGGTGCACGTGTGTGCATGTCCAAAAAATCCATCAGGGTGAAGAAATGGAGAAGAAAGGATTGTGGTGTGGCCATGTGATGTGACCATGTGATGTAACCATGTCCCATCAGGGGATGATTCTCCCTTTCCCTCTGTCTCACTGTCTCTCTCTCTCTCTCTCTGGTAAGCACATGTACCCTCTGGCAAATTAAAAAGCAAAAAAACGTAAAATAAAATTTACAGAGTCCATCTGTAGCCTAAGTCCAGTTTACCATACTGCACATCAGACTGTCTGGTTAGGGCAGGGCCTGTGGCACTGCTGACTCGCCAGCCTTCAATAGGTGGGGCAGAGTTCTGTGTGCACCAGCCCACAGCACCATGATGGTGGATCCCCACATAGACTAGCATCATTCATTCTGAAGCCTTTGCAAAGCTACCGGGTTGGAGCTGGATAAGCAATACCGAAGAGTCCAGTCTATTTTCATGATGGCAACCCAAATGGACTAAGATGATCACAAATGTTCTGTTTCCTAAAAACTCAATTATCAAATTTTGATTTATGGTTAAAAGAGCATTCAAGATCAAGGAGAAGGATAAACAATCACTTCAGCACTATAAAAACAAAGACAATATTTACTATTTAGTTACCTCGCCTGATGCTTCGTCAACTAAAGATATCTGGGTGGGAGTTTCAATTTCAATCGCTATCTGTTAAAGTAAAATATGAGATCAAGTTTACATCAGTTTTTCATAGCTTTATATGTTTTTGTGGTCTCAAACAGAAATAGAACTAAGATAGAGACTCTTTATGTATAACACAAATTTCACTACAGTAAACATTTTAACAGTTTGAAAAAGTGATAAACCTTTCTGGAGGCAGATTTGGTAATATGTATTAAATGTCTGATACACATATATATCCTTTGACACAGTGATTCCATTTCTGTGAATTTAATTTTCCTCCTTCATCCCCTCATCCTACCATTCCCATTTCTCTCTCTCTCTCCCTCTCTGCCTCAAACATACCAGGCATGTGCTCATGTGTCCAGGAGGAAGAAAATCATGGCATGACCAGACTCTATGGAGGATGTACCCCCATTTCTCTCATGTGCACATACAACCACTCTACCATGATTTTTTCTTTAATTTTAAAAAAAGGTTTTTTTTGAAAAGAACACAGTTTAAATCAGCCTCATTTGCTGATTCTAACTGCCATAGGGTGCTCCCTGGTATATGTGCCCATTTCACCGGAACAGTGACTACCACATGAGAGGCATTCAATAAAGAATGAAAGTAATTTTCCATCTGTTGTAATATGTGGTGTTATAAAACTTAGAGAGACTAAGGTTTAGTTATTAAAATACCCTTGCATTTCTGGAATAAAACATCTTATTCATAATAAACTATTTAATACTAATACATTCAATTAGTTACTATCCTAATTAGGATTTTCACATACATTCATATGAAAAATTACTCTTTTCCCCATGTTTGGTCATCTACTTTGCTATCAAGATTGAGCAACTTATATTTTTTAATTATTCCTACAACTCATCTAATACAAGGATTATTTGTTCCTGGAACATTTGTTAAAATGCACCTATAAAACCATCTGGGGGGACCAGCAGATGGCGTGGTGGTTAAGGTGCTAGATATTCCCATATGGTTGACCAGGGTTCAAGTCCTGAATCTGGTGGCTTGCTTTCTCACTTCTTCTCTCTTTCACGTTCACCCTCTGTCTCTGTCTCTGGTCAAATTAAAAAATAAATGAATGAATAAATAAAATTAAATAAATGATTATTTAAAATTAAAAAAAAAATCTGGGCCTAGGTTGGTTGATTGGTTAGTCAGGAGAAGACATCCTTGATCACTGTTTAAATTCTTTGATGAGAGAAAAGCAGACGGTGTAACGGTTACATCGCTGGACTCCCACACGGCCAACTGTGGTTTGAGTCCCAGACCCGGTGGCTTGAAACTCATGCTGGATGCATGTGCGTGTGTGCCCAGAATCCCAAGAGAAACTAGAGGAGAAAGGATTGTGGCATGGCTATCCCCTCTGGGGGGTGATTTATTTATTTTTTTTATTTATTTTTTTTATTATCATCATAATCTTCTTTATATTACATTGGATTACATATAACTTTACAGTGTATTACATTGTTTTTTCAAAAGGGAATGCCATGCATGTCCGTCAGTACAGAGACATTAATCTCCCCACTTCAACATTCAATATCTTTTCTATGTTTTCCCCAATCATTATATTTATTATTCTAATTATTTTTTAAAACAGTCAATTGCTATTTCTCATTTTGCTTGTAAAAATACTTTGCCCATCATGAAATACTTCTCAGACCAATCCAGTTGAGAATACTATACATGTCATCATCAACAGTTAATAACCCCTATCTGTTTCTCACTAACGTCCTGTCTCTCTATTGTTCACTTGCTATCTTTCTCTAGCCTCTTCTCTTCACGGGGGAGTGATTTCTCACTTTCTGTCTCTCTGTCTGTCTGTCTCTCTCTTTCTGGCGAGTGCACACGCCCTATAGAAAAAAAAAAGTTTTGATAAGAAAAAAATGTTTTATAATTTTAAAAGGATACAAGAATAACTTTGCAAGCATGGAGCCAATGTGATAAACCGAGTATTGTCATGAGAAGCACCATGGTGTCACAGAAGGACACCGGCTTCGAGAGCAGCAGGATTTTCTCACCTCCTGGGAGAACTGCGAGGCCTAGCTCTCATGCTCGCTCAGCTCCATATTGTTCTCCACAGTGGTTGAACTAGTTTACATTCCCACCAACAGTGTAGGAGGGTTCCCTTTTCACCACATCCCCACCAACACTTATCACTTTTTATATTCTTAATCGTTGCCATTCTGACAGGGGTTAGGTGGTATCTCATTGTGGTTTTTATCTGCATCTCCCTTATGATGAGGGATGTTGAGCATTTCCTCATATGCTTTTTGGCTGTTCGTATGTCTTCCTTAGAAAGACTTTTGTTCAGCTCACTTACCCATCTTTTAATTGGGTTAATCATTTTTTTTCGCATAAGGCACTTGAGTTCCCTATGTATTCTGGTTATCAGTCCCTTGTCTGAGGCATATTTAACAAGAATATTTTCCCATTCTGAGGGCTGTCGGTTCACACTTGTTACTGTGTCCTTTGCTGTGCAGAAACTTCTTAGTCTAATATAGTCCCACTTGTCTATTGATTTCTGTCTCTCTGTCTCTCTGGAGAGCGCATTTGCCCAACAGCAATTTATTTATTCAAGTTTCTCATTTTTTTCACTTAAGCTTGGTATTTTTCTATTTTTCCAGCTATTTGTTTACTTTGTATTATTAAATATACTAGCATATTAATTTTCAAGGAAAAAAGAGTATTTGTTGTTGATAGTTATCTTCCTTTTTATCATTCTGTATTTTTACATGTATTTTCTTCTTTTCATAATCAGTCTTGGCAACAATTTCCACTATCTTCTAGAACCAGCTCTGAGTTTAGTTATTCCTACCTTTTATTTCCGGTTGCAATTGTTAGTCTCTACATTATACATTTCTACTTTTATTGTTCTTATTTTCTTCTTTCACATCTTAGGTTTCCTTGGTTGTTCCTTGTCCTTCTTATTAAGCTAAAGACATATTTCATTTATTTTTAGGTGTTATTTTCTAAGAAATCCATTTAATACCATAATTTCCCTCTAAGTAAGAAGTTAGTATGTGTTCCATACATTCTGACATGTCATTTTTCCAACTGTCCATCAGTTCTTAAGACAAATTTTAGTCCTACTTTACAATTTTATCATTGACTTAAGGGCTATTTATTACATGCATTTAGTTTTCATATGTATGGGATGATTCTAGCTATCTCTTTATTTCTGATATCCAACATTATTGCATTATGATCAAAAAACACAGAACAACAGGATTTCTTATTAATTCTTTTGGGCCACCTGGTGGCATGATGGTTGTCCAACTATGTCGTTCAAGTCCCAGACCTGGTGACTTTAAAAAAAAAAAAACATACCAGGCACATGTGTGCACATGCCCAAAACCCCAGGAGGAGAAAGGAGAAGGGACCGTGCTGTGGCCACCCCCTGGGGGGAGGAGGTTATCACTTTCTCTCCCTCTCTCTGGTGAGCACATGCATCCTCCAGTAAAAATTAAAAAAAAAAAAAAAAAAGAAAAAAAAGAAAAAAGAATTATTTTGTAACCTAGTACATAGTCCATTTTTATAAACATTCTATAGATATCCCCAAAACACTCTTTTCTCTGTTGAGTTTAAAGCTCGTTTGTTTTTTTTTTCATTAGTACACATTTGTTATGGTACTAAAATGTTCAATATCTTTATTAACTTTCTGCCTCCTTCATCTTTCAGTGTCTAAGAGGGACATTAAGCTCTCCAGTAACAAGTGTTGATTTACCTTTCTCCCCCTAGATTGTATGGCCGTAAACTACATCCTCTTATCTAAGCTGGAACTACTTCTAGGAGTCCCCTCCATGTCAAGGATGGCCACAGGAAACATCTGGAAGGCAGAACTGAACTAGCAGCCATTTCTACGATTCTGAAGGACACCAGAAATTATAAAAGCTCATGTACATTGTTGCTCTTGTGGCTTGATTCAGTGACGCAGCGCAGCATTTCTCTAAGCCCTGGGCCAGGAATGTGTGCAACTGAGTGCCAAAGGTGGCAACCAGCCTTATCTGGTTAGAAGTGACAGTAGATGTGGGTTCTAGATTGTCCTTCTAAACCCCAGTTTGTCTTCATGGCTCAGTATCATGGGCTGACTTAGACTGTATTCTTTTTTTTCAAATATAAATTTTTAAATTTATGGTACAGTGTTTGTATGTGCACATGAAAGACAGAGAAATGGGGTAGCACCCTCTATAGAGTCTGCTCATGCCATGATCCCCTTACACCAGTCCTCTACGCACACTATGTTCCTTTCCAAGTCTCATCCACTTCTAGCTTTCCTACCCAACTGCTGACCAGTAGCAACTTCGGGCTGAAGACCAAAGGCAAAGGGGATGCCCTGCTGTTGTGGTCATTGTGCAGGGCAGGATAGACCCTCCCCAGTCCAGTAGATCAGGCTTTGAAACTGATGATGCCACACACAAACCGAGATAATGAGAAAATGTGTTACTCCCATCATGGGACTGCCTAGGGAGGGCAGCGCAATGGCCGAGCTGAGACAGAAGTGGCCGGTGTGGCCTGAGAGAGTAGGAGCAAGTGGCCAGGGCTTTATTGTGGCAAAGGGAAAGGTTGCGCTTGCCTGTGAAATTCACGTCAGTTCCGAGGCAGAGATAGGCTTTTTGTTATCAGCTTGCCCAAATGTAGGCAAAAGGGAAAGAAGAGGTAAAACCCCAAAGCTGTTGCTGTTGAACTAAATAGACTCTTTTTCTTTTTTGGAGGTTTTTGGTATAGGGTGTGTGAGCTCGGCAGAAAGACAGAGAGAGAGAGACAGAAAGCGAGAAATCACCCCCCAGGGGGGATGGCCACGCCGCAATCCCTTCTCCTCCATTCTCCTCTCAGGATCTTGGGCACACATGCACACGCGCCCAGAGTGAGTTTTAAGCTACTGAGTCCGGGACTCAAACCACAGTCAACTACATGGGGGTCCAGGGACATAACCATTATGCTAATTGCTAGTCCTCTAAATAGATTCTTTACCATACTATAAAGACCTCTCGGCCAGCCCCCAATTATTTAAGGCCTAATTCACATAATAAACCCTAATTCTACTCATGCATTATAGTTCTATTCTCCAATCAAGCACTGGTGACACAGGTTCTAGCAGTAATTACTTATCCACTTGGATGCTATTTTGTCAACTGCATATATTGGGTCATGAGAAAGTAATGCAGCAGTTTTGCACAGAAAAACAGAAAAATCCATCACGATTCTCTCGACAACCTAATATGTTTATCACTTTTTGATCTACTCTCCCTTTTAACAGTAGATAACATTCTCTCTAACCCTTATGATTTTGGGGATTATTTTTGTCTTTCAGTTATACTTTGTATGTTACAAAAATGGCCACTCTGACATTGGTGGCTTCTAGTTATTTAGTATATCTTTCTCCCACTTTTCTTCTCCCATTTCAACTTTTTTTTTTTTTTGAGAGGTTTTTGTTTTTTGCTATAGGGCGCATGTGCTCGCCAGACAGACAGAGAGAGACATAGAGACAGAAAGCGAGAAATCACCCCCCAGGGGGGATGGTCACACCGCAATCCCTTCTCCTTCATTCTCCTCTCGGGATCCTGGACATGCACACACAGGCACCTTGCGTGAGTTTCAAGCCACCGGGTCCGGGACGCAAACCGTGCTTGACTACGTGGGAGTCCAGCAACATAGCCATTACGCTAACTGCTGGTTCCCCCATTTCAACTTGTTTTTATACTTTTACCTTATAGACTAATAATAATGATGGATCTTTTTTATTTATTTATTTTTAACTGAAACTTTTAACCAAATTCGACTTTTGGTCAAGAGTTTAATTAAACTCATTCATGTTTATAGCAATTACTGTCATAATAGGATGTTTTCTGTTTTATTTTCTCTCCCTCATTTCTTTTAAAGATTTATTTCTTTTAAATTGTATTTATTATCATTATTCTTCCATTTTGACCAGAGTGGGACAGACAGAAAGGGAGGGTGAGAAAGCAAGCCACTTGAACAGTGGTTGGCCATGTGGAAGTCCAGCCACTTCAACCACCATGCCAGCTGCTGGCCTCTCCCCTTCATTATATTATAATGGGCAGATCTATTTTAATCTGCCAGGTTGGAAGTTATCCATTCTGTTTTCATTCTTCTGACTGTCATCTTTTTCTTATTAAAATCCATAAGTTGCATTTATTTTTTCTAAGTATCCCATGATTTAATGAAAGGATTTAACAGTTACGTTAATGAACATATTATACTTTAAAATGTGAAAATGCATATGTTCTAGAGCATTGATGAGATTAAGCAAACAAAACCAAAGACCCAGATCAAACTCTTGAAAGATAAGAGAAACAAATGAACAATAACAAAATGCCAATCTCTTGTAAATTACTAAGTTATAAAAGATTAAATATAAATAATGACTATGGATAACAATAGTATGTGAGGAACTGGCTTTGAATAATGCCAAGGTTTTTTCAATCTACCTCTAAAAAATATGTCGCACTCTAAAAAAATAAAGGATTATTGTTATTCAAAAAATAAAACTTACAATTCGTTTCTCCCAAAATCTGTATTTCCAACTAGTTAACAACAACTCCTTAGTAACAGGCGAACAGTATAGGTAAACCTGTAAGCTGAAAGAAAAAGACAAAAAATAAATAAATAAATAAACTGTCTCAGTACAATCCAAAATAAGCCATCCTGGTACTAGGAAATACATTTCATCATATATCAGCTTTCTCTAATAATTCAGAAATTGTGCTGGCTCAAAAATGTTAGGAGTAATTCCCAGCAAACCTATCCACACTACTTTGGTCCCATCAAGAAAATAAGGTAGCAAAAATACTCTCACCTCAGAAAGTCATCCTTCACCAGTTAAAAATATGTTTGGGGGACCAGCAGATGCCATAATGGTTACATTGCTAGACTCCCATGTTGTCAACAGCAGTTCAAGTCCCAGACCCGGTGGCTTAAACTCACTCTGGGTATGTGTGTGTATGTGGGTGTGTGCCCAAAATCCTGAGAGGAGAATGGAGGCGAAGGGATTGGGGCATGGCCCTAACCCCTGGGGGAGGATTTTTTACTTTCTTTCTCTCTGTCATGCTCTGTCTCTCAGATGAGCACACACACCGTACAGCAAAAATCTCTCTAGAAAAGGAAAAATATATGTGTGTGTATATTTTTGTGTGTGTGTGTGTATGTATATGTATATATGTTTGGGGCAGGACAGTGACACAATGGTAATTTAACTGGCCCCACATGCAAAAAGATCATGGGCTCGTGTCCAGGACTCTCCCCGGGCACACTGTGTGTGTGTGTGTATGTATGTCCATAATCTGACCTTAGATGGGAATCTCTGTCTCTTTCTCTTTCCATTCCACAGACAAAAGAAATGAATTACCTCGAA